AAGTGACTTCTCATAACATCTCTCTTTTGTGAGAATCAGTGAACAAATATTGATATGGTTAGATTAACAAGCCCCCCAGGAATGACACAGGAGATGGCTTAGACCCCGGATCGTGGTGGTGGGACACTGAAGAGCAGTTTAGGGAAGGAACAAACTGGGAGTTGCTGGAAGCAGGAGGTTGGAGCAATCAAGGTGGGTCAGAATAAGGAGGCTCTTCCAGGACAGGGCTAGAGGCTAAGAGTCGCAGTGTGAGTGTGGAAGCAGACAGAGAGGAGTCCAAGGTTGCCCTTTCTACACAGCAGCAGGACAGTCCCAGTCCTGCTGACTCTCCTTCCCCTCTGACACCCCACTCAATGTGAGTCCTGCAGGACCTGACTCCAACAGTGCTCAACCCACTTAGGATTCCCAGCAACTAGTGTTCTGAGGCATGCTCTGAATGCTCCATACAGCCTCTGATAGTGGAGGTTGAACATAGAACTTTATTTTGGAAATAAAGGAACAAAATATTTAGTTTCAGTTCGGCTAACACTCCATAAGGGCTGGTGTCAAAGGCTGACATAGTGGAGTATCTGCCAAGAGCCCACAGCCCATCGGAAGGTTCACTGACAAAGACCCCCCGTTCCTGGTCCTCTTCTTCATCCTTGCAACCTGCTTGTTCATCTGCCTCTCACTCTTGCAAGCATATGACAGGTGTGCTGAGAAAGAGGAGGGAAGCTTGTTGTTTGGCATTGCCTGGCAACAGCAACCAGGTTGGTGGAGACTTGTCCATAAGTGCCAATGGGGCAGCGCCCCACCAACCTCAGCCTTGATTCCTCCAAGCCTTACAACCAGTCCAGATAGTAGCCCTGGCTGACAGCTTTGACGGTGTGACCCTTCTAGAATTCAGCATGGAGAACGATAGGTCAAAGCTACAATTGGTTGGCTCTAACTTGTCATTGGTCTGGCTCTGCCTATTATTTGCTCCAGCTCTGTTAACTTCCTTGCTTTCTGTCTTATCACTTTCAGTGGGCACCAGCCACCGTTGAACCAGATGGTAGCAATGATGAAGCAGAGGAGCAGGAACAGCTGGCAACGACAACAAGGAGGGAATAAGACTCCCTGAGAGAGGAGTGGGCTATTGGGGCTGTTTTGCCAAAAAGTCCCCCAAACCTGGAAATGGCACATTTCTATCAATTTCCAAATAGTCAAAGGTTTTAATCTTATATCTAAAAAGGTAAAGGGACCCCTGACCGTTAGGTCCAGTCGTGGACGACTCTGGGGTTGTGGCGCTCATCTTGCTTTACTGGCCAAGGGAGCCGGTGTACAGCTTCTGGGTCATGTGGCCAGCATGACTAAGCCACTTCTGGAGAACCAGAGCAGTGCACGGAAATCCGTTTACCTTCCTGCTGGAGTGGTACCTATTTATCTATCTATTTATCTTTGACGTGCTTTTGAACTGCTAGGTTGGCAGGAGCAGGGACCGAGTAATGGGAACTCACCCCGTCACGGGGATTCAAACCACTGACCTTCTGATCGGCAAGCCCAAGAGGCTCAGTGGTTTAGACCACAGCACCACCCACGTCCCAATCCTATATCTACTCCCACCCTTATTCCAAGCTGTTGTTTAATTCTATACCTTGGATCACTAATCTGCAAATTCAAAATTATGAATTGTATAACCTGTTGATTCAGCTCTACTAAGATGAGTTGGTGAATTCTGGCCACAAATGGAGCAAAAAACAACGGATTTATCAGTGGCATGCAGCAACAGAAGATATCATTGTGGCATTGATGAGATGTCCACAGTTCAGAATACCGCCTTCCACCCTAAACTGCTACATTTCCCACAGTGCCACCTAGAGGCTCAATTTCATATTTGCTTCTCTTATCGTCACTGCAGAGGAAAACAGAAGTTTGCAAAGTTTGCTGCTGCGTGCGCCCCTGTGTATTATCAGTTCAAGGCAACTTCCTGAAACTCATATAAAGAAAAACATCTAAATGAGACCAGGATGAGTAATTGATGATCATAACTGTGATTATAAGGTATAATTACAATTAGCTGAACAAGAGTGTTAATCATGGAAATAATTACACGTCAGCTTTATTCCTATAGAAATGAGAATGTAATTAAGTGGCCCAGAAGGGTAACAACCCACTACTCCCAACTCACAAATCTTAGAGTGGCAGAGGTAGTGCTTGTTGCCTTAAGGGAAAGAGGAATTACAGCCAGGGAAACAGCTTGGCTGGTGATGTTTAATATTCCTGCTTGCAACAATCAACATGAAATAGTGAACAGGGTTATCAGCATTAATAATATGCCTTTCAAGTTGATTGAGCCAATTTTAAACATCATCAAATAGGAATGGGATAAACACTCAGGGCCATCCTACCCAGCGCACTGGGCTCATCATACATGCCAAACCTTGTGGGTGGAAGGGGCAGGGAGGGGCAGCCCAACCCATTTCGCCACCTGAAGTGAAACAGCGAGGTGCGCCCTTGCATGCAAGGAGCTCAGTGTGCTGTAAATATGTGCTGGTCCCGGGGGGGGGGGGTACCGTGCGGCATGGTCTAAGTCCAGTACTAGGTTGAGGGTAAGGAGGCTGTCTGTCAGGGGCGAAGTGAAGTCCAAAGCGAGGAGTCGGCCGTGGTCAGGAACTCTGGCAGGAGAGCAGGTCAGGGTGCCAGCAGGAACAGGATACCAACGATGTTGCTCCCGCAACCTGGGACTGGGCTGGCTGGCCTTTATCTCCTCTGAGGCATAGGGCGGCCCCGGTCCACAGGTGACTCGCCTCTCCTGGCCTTAAGGCGAGCACTCCTCCTGTGAGAACTTAGTTCCCTCCGCCTCTCTGCCCTGAGCCTCTGCAGCTCCAGAGAGGCTGGAGGGTTACTGGACCCAGAGGCAACTTCACCTTCCCCTGACAGGGCTGAGAGAGGCGCACCTGCAGGCAATGGGTCCTCAATCACCTCCGGAGCCAGAGCGGATTCAGCTGGTGTCTGCTCCTGAGGATCCGGCACAGGTGAGGGCCTTTCAGGTTCAAGCCCCAGCCCCGGCTCAGCCAGCCCTGGAGGTGGGGACTCCTGTGCAGGCTGGGATTCCTCAGGTTCAGCCTCTGAATCCGATTCCCAGGCCATCACAAAATCCTTCTCAGCCTCCCCATTTTATCCACACAACAGCCCTGTGGGGTAGGTTAGGCTGAGGTAGACAGTGACTTGCCCAAGGTCACCCAGGGAACTTGATGGCTGAGTAGGGATTTGAATCCTGGGCTCCCAGGTCCTAGTCCAACACTCTAACCACTACACAGCACTGCCTCAACTAGTCTACTGCCCCAAGGGTAAATGCCAATGGTTAGGAAAGCAAATGATTAAGCAGTATATGAAGGCCTTTTATAAACAAATGACTGTTGGCCCCACTCACATAGATGCTGCAGAGGAAAATTGGGATGTGCATCTTTTGGGGCTGTACTCTTGCAGCAGCCAAAACAGGACATCCCAGGATCCAATCGAAAGCTGGGATGGTTTCTGTCATTTTGGGATGTCCCACTCAAAGGAAGACTGTTGAGGGGTATTAACCCACCAAGCAAGCCCAGACAGGAATGAGGCCTTTGGGCTGAAAAAAATTCCCACCCTTAGCTTTATGGCCCTGCCACATCCCAGCCAAACTGTGCAAGCTGATTGAAAGCTTCATAGACATATTTGATTTCACACTGAGTTCTGGATGGGTGCAATGGCCTTTGAAAATGACACACACGAAAAAAAGACGTTGAGCACAACAATGATATAAATAACGTTCCAAATAAATAAATAACTACCCACCAGCAAATGTTTAATATAACCATTAAAAGGAAAACAGATGGCAATTAAGACTAGATCCATTTGCACTGATGTCCCAGAGCAATTAAAAGTTCAAAACAATAAAAGCAAGCCAATTTCTTTAAAAATAGAAGTTTTTTTTTTATTTAAAAAAAATTGAAAAGAAGAACAGATCAACACTCTTGCTAAGAGAGGTAACTAAATTCCCAGGTTCTTTAACAAGTTTAAAGACGTAAGAATCCCATCTGTATACCAACCTGCCAAACCTGCAGTTCTTTCCTCTTTGCACTTTCTCTGTGGGTGGGCAGGTGAGCATGCCTGCCCATTCATCCTTGCAGTATTTACAGCTTGAATTGTTTACACTTTCAGCAAGTGCCCGCAATCATTATTTTCAAATTGGCGTCACCCTGCTAAACCCAAAGGAAAGGGTTGCATTAAGTAGCTAATACCCGTGCAGGCTGCTTCCATTATGAATCCGTAGCATTTGCAGTAGGAATTTTTAATGGGGGTCTGCAATAGCTTGCATGGCGACAGCATGTGGTGCATGCTGTAAATCAGGGAGAGACAGCACAATTCAAAGTGTTGGTGCTGACCTTTAAAGCCCTAAATGGCCTCGGCCCAGTATACCTGAAGGAGCGTCTCCACCCCCATCGTTCTGCCCGGACACTGAGGTCCAGTGCCGAGGGCCTTCTGGCGGTTCCCTCACTGTGAGAAGCGAAGATACAGGGAGCCAGGCAGAGGGCCTTCTCAGTGGTGGCACCCGCCCTGTGGAACGCCCTCCCATCAGATGTCAAAGAGAAGAACAATTACCAGACTTTTAGAAGACATCTGAAGGCAGCCCTGTTTAGGAAAGCTTTTAATATTTAATAGGTTATTGTATTTTAATACTCTGTTGGAAGCCGCCCAGAGTGGCTGGGGAAACCCAGCCAGATAGGAGGGGTATAAATATATTATTATTATTATTATTATTATTATTATTATTATTATTATTATGCAATGCTATGAATGGGCAAGTCAAAGGTTTAAGAGAACTTACTTGGAATCATAGAATTGTAGAGTTGGAAGGGACCCCTATAGTCATCTAGTCCAACCCCCTGCAATGCAGAAATCTCAGCTAAAGCATCCAGGACAGATGGCCATCCAACCATTTTATGGGGAGGGCGACTTCTGCATGAGCATTTCTCAAAATAGCTAAGGTGCTGTAGCTGCCAGTGTAGCCATAGCTCAGTCAGAAGAGCATGAGACTCTTAATCTCATGGCCTTGGGTTCAAGCCCCACAATGGACAAAAGATTCCTGCACAGAAGTGGGTGGCTCTCATGGCCCCTTCCAGCTCTGCAGTTCTATGATTCTATGACCTGTTATAACCAAGGGGTTGGATGACCAGATAAAAGATCTGAGGAGGAGAAAGGCTGGAGGTGGTTTGCCAGGGCTTTTAAACATCTAAGGTTGTAAAATGCATTGGGATTGATATGGAAGGAAGTCTATACATTAGACCAGCCTTTGCCAATCTTCCTAAAGGGAAGGCTCATAGCTCAATGGTAGAGTTTTGCAGGTTCAGTCCCTGGCAAGTCCAGCTCTGGCTGGGAGACACCACAGTCTGAAACTCTGGAAACCAACTGGTTGTCAGTATCAGCAATATCGACAGATCTTCCAAGTGCCTCTTTTTTGATAATAATAATAATAATAATAATAATAATAATAATAATTTTATTTATACCCCGCCCTCCCCGGCCAGAGCCAGGCTCAGGGTGGCTAACACCAGTAAAATTACAGTAAAAACATAATAGGAAAAGAGAAAACCAATTTAAAATACAGGTTAAAATGCAATTTAAAATGCAGCCTCATTTTAAAAGTAGCCCATAGATGAAGACCATAAGGGGGGGGGGAAACATAAGGGTCAGACTGAGTCGAAACCAAAAGCCAGGCAGAACAGCTCTGTCTTGCAGGCCCTGTGGAAAGATGTCAAGTCCTGGAGGCCCTGGTCTCTTGTGACAGAGCATTCCACCAAGCTGGGGCCAGTACTGAAAAGGCCCTGGCCCTAGTTGAGACCAATCTAAGCACCTTGTGACCTGGGACCTCCAAAATGCTGTCATTTGTGGCCCTTCAGGTCCTCCGTGGGGCATACCAGGAGAGATGGTCCTGTAGGTATGTGGGTCCTAGGCCATGGGTCCAGGGACAGTCCCGGATTTACAGAAGCCACCCCAGTTTCTGATTTGATCCCAAAATGCCCCGCTTTTCCTTAGAACATCCCTATTTTCACCAGCAAAATGTTGGAGGGTATTGGTAAGACCTCCTTTTGTGGGAGAAATGTTGGCAGGTATGGAGTTATGTGACCCCCGAGCCAAGGAAGTAAGATGCAGTGTTTAGAAGACATCTGAAGGTAGCCATATATGGGGAAGGTTTTTTAATGTTTAATGTTTTATTATGTTTTTATATAGGTTGGAAGCCACCCAGAGTGGCTGGGATGGGCGGGATATAAATACAGTGGTACCTCGCAAGACGAATGCCTCGCAAGAAGAAAAACTCGCAAGACGAGTTTTTCGTTTTTTGAGTTGCTTTGCAAGACGAATTTCCCTATGGGCTTGCTTCGCAAGACGAAAAACGAAAACGTCTTGCAAGTTTGTTTCCTTTTTCTTAAAACCGTTAATACCCAGGGTGACTTCGAGGAGCAACTCATAGCACGCGGTGTGGTAGCCTTTTCTGAGGTTTTTGAAGACTTTGGTGATTTTGAAGACTTTGGGAAACCGTGCTTCGCAAGACGAAAAAACTCGCAAGACGAAAAAACTCGCAGAACGAATTAATTTCGTCTTGCGAGGCACCACTGTAATAAAATTATTAGTAGTAGTATTGAACAGAATGTCCCTATTTTCACGGGAGAAATGTCAGAGTATGCATTAAACTATGTGGACCAATGGGGGGGCCAAAACAGAACTCTCAGCGCAATCCTGTGCATGTCTACTCAAAAGCAACTTCCACTGATTCCAATGGGGCTCTCTTCCCCATAAGTGGGTTTAGGGCTGGAGCATGAACCTTTCTGCTTTGACATTTTCCTTCTCATGAAGTTCCTTCACCTCTGACAACAGAACGCCTCCATCAGTTATGGATTTTGAAGAGAAGGCAAGCAGGTTGGCTACCCCCCGACATACTAAGTGTCACTTCCTGAACAATGACAGCTTCCTCTTCAGGAAAAGGATTATTCTGTGGCTGGCTGTTTCTCACATGAAATGAGGTGGGTTGTTTAATGGGTCAGAAAAAAAGCAGTCCATTATCTTTCCCGGCGAGTCCCTGAGCTCTTCAAGGTTACAGTTACAGTCCGTGCATTTAATGCCCTCAAGGCTATTATCATTATTTTGTGTGATATTGTTCCCTTTTAGATGGAACTTTAGACACCTCAGATTACATGCTTGTAAATTCCGCTTTCACATTACCAGCCATGTGTATAAAATAACAGGGACTCCTTTAAAATAGGAGAAACCTCTCTCTCTCTTTGCTCTCACTTAAGGGAAGGTGAAAAACTGGCACCTGCCGACAATATTTCTCTCTTTTTCCGATGTAATGCTTCTCTTTCTCAAACTTGTTTCAGGCCCATTGCCAAACCTAAGTGCACTGGGGACTTGCAGAGCATCCGTTTTTTCTGGAGCAGACCCACATAGTTGTGTAGCAAGCCCTCAAATCATGCTTTCTCTGTGTTTGTGCTGTTAGTGTGCCCTAAATCTGTGCCTAAATATGGATGTCTTCTGCAAACGTACCGATCTGGCAAGCGGCGTCACAGCTTTCTTGCTCCAAGGGTTCAGGATTAAGGCTCGCGTAATGCACAGAGGGACTAATTAGTTACGGAGATGAAGAGACGACAGCAGTCCACGCTACCTCTTGAAATGCCATTTGCAATCTATGCATAAAATAAACATTTAGAGGAATACTACCCTTTCTACATTAGCGCTTAACTAGAGAAGACTGTGAGGGATTGTGATCCGATCATCTGCCATTTCATTTTTTGCTCTGTTTTGTTTTGTTTAAAAGGGACAAAAGCAGCCATGGATAAGGCAATAGCCCCGGGTGGGGAGGCAGTTAACCCTTTGCATTCTTCAGTTCTCTTCATCTGAATCGCCTCCTTGAGCTGCTATTTTCTCAGTGAACCAAAACATACATCATAATGGTACATTTTAAAAGGGGAGGGATTTTATTATCATCATCATATGTTAGTTGCTTTTTACCAAAAAAAAAAAAAATGCCTCAAAGCAACTTAACAGCAAGATAAAATGCAAACAAAGGTTTTTTTATTTAAAAAAAAACCAATTAAAATGATCATCTAACAATACATTATGGCCAAGCCCTACTCATACCCATGAGCAGGGCGGGTGATCTATCATGGCCGTGTCCAATTGCATTTTTATACAGAAATATTTTAGATTGCTACAATTCCATTCTAAAACTTTGAAATATCCCTCCAATGGCATGCTGCTTCATTCCAGTCCTCAGTCCAGTGGGCATCTACGCAATTCAGCAGCGAAGGTGAAGGAACCCCAATTATCATAAAGATTCTCAGTCTTCCAGGCTTGAGTCCTGTGGTGCCTTAACAATAAGCAGATATTTGCAGGCTTGTGTCATTTGCATAATTTATGCAAGTTGCAGAATTTATCTTTTTTTGCAGCAGAATTATTCAACTTTTGTTACTGGAGACTTGTTTGAAAGGGACTGTCTATAAATTATGGCATATTTCTAGAGGGGTTTTTTTGGGGGGAGGGGTATTTTAAAAACACTTCTAAACATCTGCATCTCATATTTCTATTATAGATGCCTGCCCACCCTCAAAAGCATGTCCCACATCTTATGACATTCCCATTCCCCTGACAGAATTGGAGCAAAAGGGGGGGGGGGATGGCAAGTCGTAAGAAATGCACAGGAAATAGGGGAAATCAAAGGAAGGTGCCTCTTAGCCCACAGGAAAATGGTTGTGCCCACGAAATAAATGCAAACGGGGATAAGGAAAGTTAAAAGGTGTTGATATGGCAGAAGCTAGTATGATGGGGAGGGGGGATTTTTCTGCCTGAGGACCAAATGCCAGTGATGGGTGAGAGCCACAGGAAAATATGGGTGGAGCAACTGATGTATATTTTAGCTTTGTACAGTAGGCTGGTTCCTACAAGGAAATAAACAACTATCTGACTTTTAGAAGACATCTGAAGGCAGCCCTGTTTAGAGAAGTTTTTAATGTTTGACGTTTTATTGTGTTTTTAATATTCTGTTGGGCTGCCCAGGGTGACTGGGGAACCCCAGCCAGATGGGTGGGGTATAAATAAATTACTATTATTATTATTATTACTACTACTACTACTGCACACCCCTCTGTCTTCCATCCAGATGAGAAAGCAAAATTATCAGGGTCCAAGGACACATCCCAGCTAGGCAAAAACTCTCAAGATGAAGTAAGGCTGGGGAGATGCAAGGCCCAAGGAGAGGCAGGTTATTTTGCATTTCATGTTGATGTTTGCTTTTGATTGTTTCGCTTCCTTTGAAGAGCAAAGTATAAATGCTTTAAGTAAATAAAACAACATGCTTTAGCTGAAGGCTAAAACAAGCAGAATGTTGGAAGCCCTGTAGCTCAGAGGCAGAGCACATACTTCACCCAAACAAAAGCCTTGGGTTCAGTTCTTGGCAGCTTCACTTATATGGAACAGGGAGCAGTTGATGGGAAAGGCTACTGCTAGCAAGAGAAATAATACTGTACTAAACAGACAAATAACTGGATATGGTGTAAGGCAACTTGCACTATTCCTAAAATCTCCAAGATGAGCATAAGACCTGAGGCTCCTCAAAGACGCCATGTTTATTCATCATTCACCCTCATTCATTTGCACAAGCTTTTGCAGTAGTTGGGAAATATCCGGTCCTAATTGAACATTTGTTCTCATCTATTTACAGCGCTGTTATACAAAAATGCGCAGCCATCCTGATTTGCTTGCAGGGTGTTTACACATCTTCCCATTAATAGTTCAATTTTCAGTGCATTTCCCCTTCAAGGCTGTATGTTCAGAAGTGTATTTTGTTACCATTTTGAACTAGGTGTGCAAAAGTATATTTGTTGCCTCAGTGGGTGCTTCCATCCACTTTGTGTAAACTTAAATTCCCAGGATCTGCTGGAGTCCCTCCCACAATATAGTGAGGAGCTTCCTTCACTTTCTCCTTTCCCCAGTCCTAAATTCAGATCTCCACATTTCTGCAGCAATTTGCAATATTTATTTGGGCAGGGGGATTTAAATGAAAACCCATCAGCCTTTTAGTGCAAA